TGTATTATGAACACCCGACGTGCGGGTTGGATAATGGATGGATATTGTTAAGCATGAACGCTTCCGCACGATATGTATTTGTACTAATTTGATTGTGGTATCTAGTATCGCTTTAAGCTTGAACGCTTATTGTTTGAGTCCTGGCGAGAGTTAGGCAGGCGTCCCGCGAATACCCTTTGGTTCGCCTTAGGGAGAAGTGGGGCGTCACACTTTCAAGATTAGAGAGAGCTTGGAGAGTGCAAGAATACTACCAAAAATGTAGTTCTTACATTTTCTTAGTGTTAGGTTAGTATAGTATAAGATAGTTTAACTAGTAGTTCATCCTTCTTGTTTATTAGTTAGGCAAAGATGAAGAAAGCAAAGAAAGAGCTCATGTGACAAGGGTTACTTTTCCTTTCCAACTCTTTATCTTTTGTATTGGATTCTAAGTTTAGTTAATATACAAGTTTTGGATTTTATGTTTATTATGTGTCTTTAGAAGTTTATGCCTTGGGTTTGGTTGAACTTTCTATGATTGTTAGTGTTTATTATTTGGCTATTTGATGCTATTATTTTGAGCAAGTTATTTAGTACTTTAGCTCTTTAAATCATGATTAATTTGGTACCATTAATTGTGATTATCTAAAGGTGTTGTTTCTTTAATGAAAATTGAGATTTAACACTAATTCAAGAAGTGCTAAACCTAGGGAATACACTCACGAGAGTAGAGGTGCACCTATGTGGCTTTAGTGATTCATTTCAAGTAATTTCATAGAAGAAATGAACTTGTAGCTAATTTCATAACCACGAGAGTAGGTATGGATTAGTTATAAGTATAGTTGATTCACTACGAAAGTAAGTTTCATATACATAAGGAAATTACGCCATAACTAGCCAAGATAGTAGTACTCAATGATCCAAAAATAGCACTTGCATGAGTAGTTAGGAATACCATAAACTAAGGAGCTTTCATTTGTTATTATCTTACATAAGTTTAGCATAGTTTTATTTCTTTTAATTCATATAATGTCTAAATAATAGATAAGCTTTAGTAGTGCTGGTAATTGTTCAATCTTTCTCGTGGGATCGACCCGATATATGTCCTAAACTACTAGTTGACTTGTATACTTGCAGTCAAAACGGGTATAAATTGGATTTAAACTTGTACTTATATTAAAATCCCGTCAACATACAAGTTAGGGTCCTTTTTTATATAAGTACTTTTCTTTCTGTTGTTAATTTTTAATGAATGATCAAATAAAATTCAAGTTGATGGCTGATTATTAGCTCCTAACTATATATTTTTCAAACAATAAATTTGCAAGACACAAAGCTCATAATAATGAAGCTCATGTAAGATTGTTGGCACTAAAACTCACGCGCAATGGAAGCAATTTTACTATATATAAAATATGTGGGAAGAGGATTGAAAATAAACACACAACTACAACTCAATAATTTATTAACTCAATAGCCAACAATAACAATACCAAGTCATAGTTTTTCACTTATGACAACTCACAAATCTCAATTAGAGGCTTTTTCTCAAACCCACTCTCAAGACTCAATTCAACTATTTAAAACTATACTTTCTCAACTCTTTTCAAGAAAACAATGCTGCATGCTTCGCAATTTATAGAGGCATCCTACCGACTCAAAATTACAAAGGAAAAGGAAAATTGTTAAACTAATTACTACCAGGACTAGTATTACTAAGGTTTAACCGACCAGGACACGTAAAAGGAAATCAACTAGGACTCCAACCGACCAAAAACAAATAGAAAAATTCCTTGGAGATATTTAGTATGCTAACACCAATCAAGATTGGAACTTGCGTAATGGCTCACATGAAGCAATCCTATGCGGTTTTAACTACGAAGTAATTTGGTAATATAATTAAGCTTGGTTTAATGTTCTTCAAAGTTGCTATTATAAATCGGATCGTAAGTAGAGTAAGAGGAATGTTGTCGACATTCCCTTGCAAGTTGAAGTAGCTTACTCTATTTTTCATTGAAGAACACATTTATGTTCATTAGAGTGCACATATTGTCCAATTTTGGCGATATTGAAATATGCTTCCCTGCTGCTCAGAATTTGCACATCTTCAACAAACTTCAACCCTTATCAAAATTCAGGAAAAAAAATTGCTATAACTAGAACTTGCTTATGGAAGTCACCCACACCAATTAAAAGATTACAAATGGACCTTAGATTTTTAATGACTGTAAGATGGATCTTTTATGCAAGAGTTGATGGCGGTGGTAGGTTAGGGGTGGTGACTGAGGTAAATGGAGATGGAATTCACATTAAGGTAGAAGTTGAATGAGTTTTTGCACCTGGGCATTTTGGTAATTTAAGCCAAATCTTATTACATTTAATATTGGTTCACTCATTTTTGAATCTTATACCCACTTTATGAACTTTTGAAAAGTTGCACACCATTTCTGAGTATTGATTCTTCCGACTTCCATATCCTAAATTCTCCCAAATATTTAAGATGATGGGCAATTTTTTTTAAGGGGTGTTTTATTTCTTCTGTTTTTATGGTTTCAGCTGGAAAATTCAATGTTGGGATAATATCTTGTATTTAGTTGCAGTGTTCTTTGCATAATATTTTTGATAGATAATTGTTAGTTTACCAGGCAAGCTCTTGTCGCAAAGATGATTTTAGCGATACCTTTTGACAAGAAAATTACAGTTAAAAGTTTATTTTATTGCTAAGTTGGCAGGATTTGTCTGGCGAGTTCGTGTTTGAATTTTTTAAGAACTGTGAGCAGTTTTGAATGTGGCGGTTACATGTTAAATTTTATGGACCATTTAGGCCTTAATAATGGATCCCTTCGAGACCTATGCAGGGTAAATATGCTATGTGTCTTATATTAAAAAAGTGTTTAGAAATGGATTTCAAACAGCCCACAGTAGAGCTTCTGTATTGCAACTAAAAATATCATTGATTCTATTCTATACAAATAAAGTGTAAATAAATTCACACAAAAAATGTGTGATTCTTTAGGATTAATTTTAATTTTTATGTACTGTTAGTATATATACATACGATATTTTTACGCACAATCAATACTCAACATGGATACATGTACAAACTTTTGCTTTTGCAAATACTACAAGTCAATAACTGGTGTCTCTTCAACAAAAAATACGGGGGGGGGGGGGGTGTGGGAGGCTTGAAATTCTTTTCTAGTTTGTGTGTTCTTTGATTTTATAAATCCAAAAAAAAAAAAGCGCAAAATGTCCAACCTAACATCCATGTGCCTTGTACTCTTCCTTTTGTACCTAAATTAATTCCAACGTGTTGTCCTCAAAGGAAATTAATTCCAAAGCTGGTTTTTCTCCATGGGAGGAAGTACTTTGTATAGTTTTTAGTTTCTGTTATTTGAATAAATTCTCTCCTAAGATTCCTAGTGAGAGTTTCTTCTCTCTTAGATTATTCTAGTGAGAGTTTTATTCTCTTTTGAGTTTTTTCTCGTGAGAATTTTTTAGGTTTTTATCTTTGTGAAATTTGAGATTTTATAAATCTCGAATCTAGTTTTTCAGATATGCAATTTCTCTATTATTGTCAGATCTAAATTTCTCTTTGGACTTGAATCAGTTTTAAATAGATCTGATGGTCAGCAGACATGTACTAATATATTGGGCTATGGTAATTCATCCGGATAAAAGATATATAGGAGTATTAATTATTTGTATTATATTCTTAGATCTATTATATCTATTGATTTCAAATCTATATGTGTTTGTGTTATGTTTGTTTGATGTATTTTCTGCCATTAATGCAGATTTGTTTGAATGAAATGATCTTTTCTATCAAAAGAATTTCATTTGGGTAAATAGCAAAACAAATAATACATTTTTCTAATGGGTTTTTGCTTAATATCTACTACTGGACTGGGTAAATGGCCAAGGCATTATATGATTTGGTTTGGTATCTTGCCACTGTTTGCATCATTTTAATAATCTTATAGTCCTTTTCTCCTTCTGGACTTCTTGGAAGCAACTGGATTAACAAACTGATCTTCTACATTGTTCTCCTCTTTGCTATTGCTTTGTGAGCTACTTGCACTATTATTTGGAGAAGATATTTTGATACGGCATATGTATACACTCACATTGTATTAAAAAAAAAATTACTCTTCTTTATTTCCTACTTGTTCTCTACTTCATTTATCTAATAGATCTCATGCTCCTAATTTTTCATTAAAAAAAAATCTAGTTATCTTCAGTTGCGATATTTTGCAATACCATTACAATTGATTGGATAAGTCAATCTTCAATTGCAGGTCACTGAATAAAAAGTAGAGAATTACTCTTAAAATGATTAATAGTATATTTAGTGATAAAGATGTACACTAAATGTGGGCATGATAGTAAATTGGTAAACCAACTACCATCTTAAAAGGGAATAAGTTTATAATTTAGGATAATCACAAAAGACAAATGACCTTATTTTACAGGATAAAAAGAATAACTATTTATTGTTTTAGAATTATAATAACTCTCTTTGTATTATTTTGATAGTCTTGTTTATTTTTTCGTCCACCCTAAATTATAATTTATTTTTTAATTGAATAATAACTATTCTGCCATTACCTTATAGGAAGGAGGGAATAACTAACTGCTTTAGTATTATAACTATTTTATAATTTTTGTAGATATCGAGGATGAACAGTACATATTATAAACCATTTACTGCTTTAGCATCCAGATTTGCCTGGAATTGTTATCGTTTTTACGAGGTCTAAAAATGTCCATTACATGGTAATGCACTTTGGCCGAAAGTAGACGAAGGCTGCTTCCGTCAGGCTCCAGGATAGGGACCCTAAAGTCTCCACCAAAATAACAAGACAAGACAAGAGTCTTCCAAGTTGCCAAAAAAAAAAAAAAGAGTTTCGCCGACAGTAATATTTGACTATTTTCACATAATCAGAAAGTTGTAAACCTTGAATTGAGTTTATTCATTCACTATACAAATTTGATATCAGAGTGAGTGAATAGAAGATACAATAATGGATATATCCTCCGGTAGTAGCACTAGTTGCTTTGATTCCCCTCTAGAATATCTGGACTGGATGCGAGAAACCCTCATAGATAACGCCAAGAGTTCCATTGGCTCTGGTTTGCAGAGCCATATCTTGATTCGTTTGCATACAGAATTCCGGGATCTGGGAATCGAGTTGAGACTATTACAAAGCTTTGATCTGTATCTGACAAAGTGTAGGAGGAGGAGGAACCATGAAACCTGTTTGGAACAAGCTGAGGAGAAGGATGTTACGTCTTCCAGAATTCAAGATCTGATTATAAGAAGAATGCAAGATCTTGAATTTGCTTGCAGCGAACACTGGATTCATTCTCGTTCACTTCCTTGGACTCAAATTATAAGTGAGCTCTCCAGATTCCAGGAAGCAATCAAGTTGTTTTACGAGACACATAACAAGGAATCGTGCATCAACTTTCTGTTAGAGTATTACTGGCTGAGAGATCCAGAACTAGTTATTGATTTCATTGATTCGGTTTCAAAGCCTCTAGCGGAAATGAAGGGATTCCGTTTAGGACGCCCTGGAAAGAAGCTAATGTTGTTGAAGAGTTTCATTCGCTTTGCCATGCTTCGCGGTGTCAAGGGTCAGCAACTGAAAGATCTGTTGATTCACGCTGAAGTGATGGCTGTCAATGCATTACACCTGGCTTCTACATGGTTCTTTCACACGCATCATGAAGTATGGAATGAAACAGAGCTTCAAATGTCTCGACTAATACGTGAGAAGATTAATCCCGGTGATCCCAAGGTCCGAGAAACTTACATCCATGTCTTGACTGCTGCAAAGTTGTCAAGATCATCAGACAATTCAGCTCTGGAGAAGAATAAGCATCTAGTAGCTGACTTTATGGATTATCTCGTTCCCAATATTATTGAGCTGCTAGAATCTTGTACCAGTACTCTGGCTCCGATTATGAATCAAATGCTAAAACTCCTTGAGGGGCTAAGATTCCTGACAATCCTCCTCAGGCATCAGAAAAAGTTCAAAGAGCTACGCCATGAAATGAAGAATCTTATTGGAGTTGTGGTTTGTGATGCAGCAATCATAATTTTCTCCCTTTATGTGAATCAAATCGAAGAAGACTTGGTCAAGGAAACCAATGTTTCTCTTTTGCATTTGCTCAAAGTGCTCAAGTTTATTAGGGCAGAAGTAATTGATCCAGTAGCATCAGTATCAGGATTTGGTTTTCCTAGGACCAATGAGTTGGGCTCTATTGATTTTTTCCTAACAAATCTAAAGGAATTGGCAAGGTGTGATGAGATTAATGGTTCAATCGCTTTCCCAGTGGATAAAATCCAGACAATCCAGAAAGATTTTGAATTTTTAAGATCTTTCTTGGAGAAAATCAGGGAGCAGTTATGGAGAAAATCAGAACAAAAAACTTCAAGTTTTCTGGAGTCATGTTATGGAGATTGCATATAAAGCAGAGTTCGTGATTGACTCGACACTTGTTGGTGATAGACGTGAATATTGTTTGGATGATGTTGCCAGAGACATCAATGTTCTGAAGATTGAGGCTCAAGAGATCTATGATAGCATAAGCTATGTTGGTGAAACCACCAAGGGAGTTACCAAGACTTTTACTCGCATGCCATCACAAGTTACTGTCGTCACGTGCAATAAAGATCTGGTGCCTCTCGACGACGAGGTGGAAAATATCACTAAAAGTCTTACAAGAGGAGGATCAAGGCGGTTGGATGTTGTTTGCATCGTGGGTATGCCTGGGCTTGGTAAGACCACATTAGCCAATATAGTTTACAATTCTCCATTAGTAATGCCGCATTTCAATATTCGTGCTTGGTGCACTGTTTCTCAAGCATATAGCATGCACAACATGTTAGTTCAGATATTGGGTAGTATTGAATCTGGGAAACTTGAGCAATATCAAAAGATGGATGAAGCTGATTTGGCTGTAAAGCTAAAACAAGTTTTGTTGAGAAATAAGTATCTCCTGGTTTTGGATGATTTGTGGGATGCTAAGGCTTGGAATTTGTTGGAGAGATCATTGCCCGATGATGCCAATAGAAGCAGGATTCTCATCACGAGCAGATTGCAGAATTTGTCTCTGCAATTCAAACCTGATAGCAAGGTTCACCATCTCCGCCGCCTAACCAATGAAGAGAGTTGGAATTTGCTGCAGAAAAAGCTATTTGGCAAAGAAGGTTGTCCTCCAAGACTAAGTCAAGTTGCATCTCAAATAGCAAAATCTTGTAGGGGCTTGCCTCTCACAGTTGTCCTTGTTGCTGGAATTCTTGATAACACTGCAGAAGAATCCTGGGAAGAAGTTGCAAAGAGTCTACCTTCCAGTATTGTCCTTGATGATGAATATTGCATGAAAACACTTGAGTTGAGTTACAGTCATTTGCCGGATGATTTGAAGCCCTGCCTTCTTTATTTTGGTGCATTTCACGAAGACAAAAATGTTCCTATCCGAAAGTTGTTATGGCTTTGGATCTCTGAAGGATTTGTGCTAAAGACTGAAGGAAAGAGATTAGAGGATGCAGCAGATGACTACTTGAAGGATCTGGTTGATAGAAGTTTAGTTGCGGTTTCCAAACAAAGAACTATGGGTGGTGCCAAAGCTTGCCAACTTCATGATTTGGTACATGAGTTTTGTGTGAAAAAAGCCAAAGAAGAAAACTTTCTACATATTTTGCATAGTCAGAACGGTCCTTCTGTTCTTGCTGGCCCAAGCAACCCCCTTCGAGTTTGTGATCGAAGTGCCAGGAATTTGATGATTCGGGAGTCAATGCTAGAATTTCCCAATGTACGCAGTTTGTTATTGTTTGAAGAGGATGATTTGGGGTTTTGGTTACCTAAACTTCTTAGAGTGCTGGATTTGGGGGAATTGGTGTTTGATGCATATTTTCCGGTGGAAGTACTTTTGCTTGCTCACTTGAGATACTTGGCTCTTCGCACTAGAGAAGTAAATTTCATCCCAGCTGCAATTGCTAACCTCTCAAGGTTACAAACTTTTCTGCTACGAGGAAACATCTCTGATTGTTTCTTACCCAAGACTATCTGGAACATTAAGACATTGAGGCATCTATGGATTACAAATTCCACTTCTGGATTTATTTTTCCTGTTGAAAATCTTGAAGTATCCCCAGATTTAGATCATTTAGACACTTTAAGCCTTGCCATCGATCCCTCCTCTCAAAGCTTGCAAAAGATATTGACAAAGTTACCAGGCATTCGCAGGCTAAGATGTATGACAACATCAGCTACCAGAATTGGCGATGGGATTCTTCCATTTGACTGCTTGAGTCAACTAGAATCACTTAGACTGCATTTCTTTTTTCGATATGGATTTAAATTCCCATTGAATTTGAAGAAGTTGACTCTCTTATACAATAAGCAACCATGGAGTGAAATTTCAACAATTGGAAAGTTGCCCAATCTTGAAGTGCTTAAATTACTCCAAGAATCCGTTGCTGGGGAAGAATGGGAAATGAAAGAAGGGGAGTTCCCCAACCTCCGAGTCTTGAAATTCAGAACCTTGTGGAAATTTCGCAGCTGGACTGCATCTTCTGATAATTTTCCCCGTCTTGAGAAATTGGTTGTGCACAATTGTCCGATGTTGGAAGAGGTGCCTTCTTGTTTAGGGGAATGTCAGGCTCTTGAAATGATTGAGGTGAGAGGGTGCCGCGAGTCTGTTGCAAGTTCAGTGAAGCAAATTCAACAAGAACAGAGAGAGATGGGAAATGAAGTTCTAGAGATCTTGATTGAAAGTGTGTTGATGCACGGAGTTCCAGCAAAGAAGAAGAAGAAGAGTCTAGTCCCTCATAAACAGAGTCAATCCCCTCACAACAAGTAGTCTAATTCGAGCTTCTTGAAAGCAATTTCTGGAGCTTCCCTTTTTTGTTTGTTTGTTTGTTTGTTTTTTTGTTTGACTTGATGCAGCTAGCTGTAACTTTGTGACTGCAATGGCAAGCACCGTAAAATCTCAATTCGTGAAATCTTGTTTAATTCTGATACAGATTGATATGATGCTTATAGTTAGCTGAGCACAAGTTTATATGCAAGATACACTTTTCTCTTCCTTCTTTGTATTTCAGTCAGAGTAGTAGAGAAACTTTTAACTTGCAATTAATTAATATGTTAAAACATCCAATGTTTCTTTTTTGGCAAAAAATATTAAGAAGAGACAAGAGAAAAGGGGAAAAAAAAACTTGGTTATGTTGCTTTTCAAATAGAGAAAGGGTGTAGCAAAAAAATAGTAAAATTTGCCTCAAATGATTGTCTTATATATGCAAATTGCGTATGTTGTTATATGCAGCCCATTTTCATTGGCATTAGAGCTAGAAATAGGCAAATAGCTTTGGATACCAAGCCAAAAGGAAAAGAAAATCTTTTTCAAAAACTAGTTTTTCAAATACAATAAAAATTTTTAAAAAGTACTTTGAAAAGTAATCTAAAAATTAGTTTAAATTTTTTTAAAATTTTAAAAAATATCTCAAAATATATTCTAGAAACTCTTTTACTTTTAAATATCCCAAAATATTTTTTGAAAATATCCAAAAATATAATCTAAAAACTCTGCTACAGCAAAGTTTTTCAAAACCATCTCTAAAAACAGCTAATCCAAACGAGCTCTAGAAACTTGTGCAACAGTTATCTTTATGTGCATCTTTCTTCGTTACACTGTTTTCATGTACAAACTTTCTCTAATTGGTGGACTTTTGGAAGTCTAAAGAAAGTAAATATTTTAAAACTTTCTTTGCTGTTTCATCTTTTAGTTTCCAATATAAGCGATTAAAGGTTCAAACTGATCATTATGAAAATCAGAGAAACTAGATGATAATTTTGTTGAGCAATTTTTGTACTTTTTTATTATCTGTTCTAGCTCTGCAACTGTTCCTTCCTCTAGAGAAATTAATGAAAATCAAATTAAAATCTTTTGAGATGGAAACAAGTTGATTACATTAACGATCACTAGTTCTTGCATAAAGGATTTGTTAAAATTTATAATGCATTTTGACCTCACATATCAAAATTCTGCCTTCAAGAAAATACATTTTTAATGAAATAGCTCATATTTTTGTTGACATAATCCTTTTTTTTTTCATTTTCATTACAAAAATCTCTGTACTCTACAATTCGTGTACAAAAAATTGTGTCAAATTTTTAGGGCTGGACGTGATTCATCTCTTTTCACTTCACATTCAATTTGAAAATGGACAGTGCTGCAATGATGAGGAGTTGCCGCTATACCTCATAAATGAGTTGCTGATATGATGCCAGATATAAGTTTAACCCTGCTATTACAGGTTTCAGTGGGGCCAAAATTGTAATAGTAACTTTGGTGTAATTAATAGTAATTTTTTGCATTAAACAATTAAGTTGCATAATTTATGTAACTTCTTATTTAAATACCAAATCTTACTAGACTTTTAGCAAAAAAATTATCACTTTTTATTTTAGAATTTATCATTTTTTATATAAGACTTACTACTTTTTCAAGCAAGCTAATAATTTTATTAATAGATCTTACCACTTTATTTTAGTAAAATTTACAACATCATTAATAAATCTTACTAACTTTCCAGTAAAACTTGCCATTTTTTTATTAAAAAAAAAACTTATAAATTTTAAAAGCAAAACTTATGATTAGATTAACAAAGGATTAACCACATTTATCTTCCTTGAGATTTGGTCAAATTACCAATCAAACCCTAAGATTTGGTCAAATAACAATCTAACCCGTGAATGAGCAAACATTTAGCAAAACATCCCCTTGACATCTTCAACCGTTGGTAACGTTGCAAAAAAGCTTGTGTGATAGCCCCAAAATGTCCTTCTAGATCTCACGTATTATTACACTCCAACAAAGAATGCATATTGGCTTACATAAATATCCTTTCTCATAAAACTTGACATAAAAATTAGAGTAAATCTTTTATTCATTGTCAGTATATACACAAATGGATTTAGATACAAGTCATATGCGTAAAATTTGGAGAACAAATTCAAATTGAGATGATGTGCCATGCATCTAGGGACATCATTGTAAACACCATCAATATATAAAAGATTAATTTTAAAAATTAATTACAATTTTTTGAAATTCTTTCAAACTCAAAATTAGTATTAGCACTGTATTATAACTATGGAGCGTCTTGAAATTATTCCCCAACTGGTGAAATTTTTAGTTAGTCATAATTATGAGATATATCCTCTTTATCATGTGCTCATTAAAAAATTCTAAAAAAACAAGTTGGGGCTATGCCTAATCCCACAAATTCCTAATTTAATTTTTTTAAAAGAAAACTCAAAATTAGTAGTACTCAATCAGACAAGGTGAAAATAAAATCAACAATAAAATATCAATGATAGCTAAATACAAGCTAGGAAAAATAATATGAAAATAAGAAGATTTGAAATACAATGACTATGAAAAAAGAAATTGTGGAAAGTGTTTTTCAAGGAAATTTGAAAATGACAACACTAACCCAAACGATTCATCAAAAGGCAAAAAAAAAAAAAAAGAATAGAACATAAAAAGGAAAAATGGATAATGGAAAAGACTAGCTATCAAATGAGAAGTTTCTGAAGAAAAAAATTAAAGAAAGAAATATGTACAAAATCATACAAAGGAAAATACCAAATTTTAGGAAGCAAAGAAAGAAATTCAATACAAAGGAAAAGTAACCATATCCAAATGAAGGAAAGATATACTATATAGTTTATCCGAATGCTGATTTTATGTTGCATGCATGACATATTGACGAGGATCTATTATGCACCATATTTTAATAAAACTTAAATACTCCGTTTTCTACAAGTATGCAGATCGTTTATTGAATATAGGGGTATTAGGTGTCGATCCTACAGGAAAAATTGTCAATTACCAATGGTTTTCGAACTCCTTCATTATTTAGACTACCACAAATGCAAGAGATTAAATCTACACTACAAACATGAAATAAAAGTAATAAAAATAACAATAGAAAGCTCCTAGGGTTATGAAATTTCTCACTACTCTTGCAAGTGAAATTATCGATTAATTGAATGTTATGATCTTAGTTAGTTATGATATAATTTTCTAATGTATGTAAAACCTACTCTCGTAGTGAGTCAACTATACTTGTAGCTAAACCATAGCTACTCTCATGGTTATGAAATTAACTACAAACTCATTTCTTCTATAAAATTACATGAAACAAACCACTAAAATTACAAAGGTGCATCTCTACTCTCGTAAGTATACTCCCTAGATTTAGCACTTCGTTGAATTAGTGTCAAATCCTACTTCTCATTGTAAACTTAATACCTTAAGATTATCACAATTAATGATTAATTAATCATGATTAGATAAGCAAAAATGATACATAACTTGCTCAAAATAATATCATATAACCAATTAAACATCACTAATAAAATATAGAAAATTCATCTATAACTCTAGGCATAACCTTTAGCAAAACATGAAGAGAATGAAAGAAAAGACCATATTTGTATTATAACTAAATATGAACCCAAATACAAAAGAGAAAGTGATAGGAGGGAAGTTACACGTGTTATATGAGTTTCAACTCTCCATCTTGCTACTTAATTTTTCATCCAAATCTAACTATAAGTACAAGATAGATAAACTACACTAACTACACTATACTAATGAACTAAGAAAAAACTAGTGGATACTAGGGCTGATGCTGAACCGAGTAGCTTGACTCGAGCTCGCAAGCTACTCGGTCAGCAGCTCGACTCGAGCTCGTTTTGACCGAGCTCGAGCTGCTTGGTAGAAGTAACGAGTCAAGCTCGAGCTTCAATATTTCGCACTTGAAAGCTCAACGAGGTTAATCGAGTTTTTTATAATATATATTTTAATTTTTATTATTGTGATTATTTAAAATTATATATAAAATATTAATTTTTATTACTTGAGCTTGATTAGGCTTGATTGAGCTCGAATAAGGTCGATTGAGCTTGATTTCAATTGATTACATTTAATTAAACTCGAGCTCGAGTTTGAACTCGAGTAATATAAATTGATGTCGAGCTCGAGCTCGAGCTCGAATTTTAAAAGCTTGACGAGCTCGAGCTCGAGTTCGAACTTAGTTATTTTACCTCACTACTCGAGCTCGATTCGACTTGAATGCAGCCCTAGTGGATATTACATTTTGGTAGTGTCTTTAGCTTTCCAAAGTTGTGAAAATATGTTTTCAAGTCCCCCATTTATAGATGAATTCAATTTTCAAATGAGTAGTTAAAGTTGACATAAAATGCTCTTGAGATTCCCAAAATATTCTTCTACAAGTGTCGATGCTCTTCTTTACACAGTTGCAGCTGAAATTCTTTATTGGAAAGGAGCTATAAAAAGTTGTAAAAAATCAGAACAAGTGGTTGTGCAAGTTACACAACTTCCTTAAGAATACGTAGGGTCATACACATGTGCATGGTCACGTATTGCACCTGCATATTGCCTTCCCTATAGATTTGCACTTTTCTGATTAGTCTTCAACTTTACTCTATTTTTGCACCAAATTCAACTGATATTTTCTTGATGATAGAGATTGAACTAACTCTTTTACAAAACATGAAAGTTTCAGCCCTTTGAGTTGCCTTTTCAATGCATTAAGAATCATTTAATTTTGAGCTCTTTAGACTGATAAATAACCAAAATATTCTTAACTGGTCAATGCCCTATTTCAGCTTTTGATAGTAAAAATGGCTAACTATATTTCGACATTTTGATCAGAAAAACTCAAGAATTAGATTCTAATGTCTCATAAGAAATGTAGATCTATGCTTTAACTTCAAAATGGCTTAAGAAACACCTGAATCTAGTACTTTTAGCTCAAGACATAGCGAAAT